CTAACCACTCGGCCACATTGCCACGCGTGTCTTTGGGTCACAGGGCAGGTGTGAATTTCAAGGAAGGGCAGGTGTGAATTTCAAGGAAGGCCAGGCCTTTTGGTGGGATTGTCGATGAAGCAAACGTATATTTGCTATAACAATCGACTACGTTACTTATTTTTCGTATTTATACGTTTGCTTCATCGACAATCCCACCAAAAGAATGTGATATAGCAAAAGGCCTGGCCTTCCTTGAAATTCACACCTGTCCTGTGACCCAAGGGCACTCGTGGCAATGTTTCCAAGTGGTTAACATGTCAAGCTCCAATTCTACAATGTAACTGTTCTACGATCAGTCCTTAATCACCTTAAATGAAATAGGGCGAATACATCTCATATTACTGATTTACTGGTAGTTTCAAAACTATACTTACATACCAAAAGTTAGTATATAAACCTACTCATCATGAATAAAATACTTATTTAATTGAAATGACAGGTCTAATTTTTTTGTGATATGAGGCAAGCATGCCTTGTCTTCCCCATTTAGGACAGACATTTGTAATGACTTTAATGAACTGAGGTAACAGGCTTACTCACTGCGTATATACTTTTTCAGTATATCTACCAGATAAATACGTATTTATCTCGTTATCCATCCACCCACCCATATACTACTTATTGATGCAGTCTTACTCATTGTTTACTCCTGCCCTTTTTTCATTGTCACCTCTACTTCAGTGCATATGAATCTATCTATCTAACCCCTTCGTCCTTTAGCCTGCTTTTTGGCCTATTCATGTCATTGTTTTGGTAATTGCCCCTTTGTGGCTTGCTGTAAACTCTGTCTAAATCATACACAGTCTGGATGCTTGTATGTGTATATGCGTATGTGTGTGTGTGCATGTCTTCGACAAATCCCAATTGCTTCCTGTTGCATCATTGAGCCTGCCAGTACCATGTTCTTCTCTTCTGTCCGAGTCGGGTGCGGAATCTAAGCCTGGTGTTGTTTCTGGGGTCAACCTCGAACAGGTCTGCTGGTCGCCGGGCGCCGAGCGCCAGATCCGCAAATGGGGCCTCGCTTTGTGGCCACGACGTCCACTCAGTACCAGCTTGAGGGCAGCCTCTTTTGTAGATTCCTCTCGGCATACCTTAGACAGAAATCGTCAGCATTTGTCTGTCGAATTACGTATAAAAATGGCTGTCTGTCTCTTTATGCATGTTTGTCGGACCCGCACATTCGCACATTAGCCTCGAGGCCTGAAGGTAGGCGAGACGTTGGCAACTGCAGCTGAGTCGGTGA